GCCATGTGAGAGGTTTGAATCATAGACCACGTTCTTTGTAGACTTTATTCTAACAGCATCAGCTGGTGACTGGCAACCGGGCACTGCCAAAGACAAGCCGCCACCTCGACATGGGAAAACATATCGTACGATGGTACAATCTTACACCCCCCAAAAAGTTTACAGTGAAACATATGTCAAAGGCATTTGCTACAATTAATAAAGGAATGCAAATGTTTGATGGCCTGGATCAAAATTATGAGCGTTATGCCAAAGTTGACAGAATGGTCCAAGATGCACTTGCTTGCTACAGAGAAATTTATAATGAAAAGAAAAACAAACTGTGCAATCTAAATTGGACATGTATTTTAAGAAGTCCCCCAGTGCTGTCTCCTCACGCCTCACCAGTGCTGCTTCTTCACTCCCTCAAAATGATCCAATACCTTCAACCAGCAAGTTTCCACAGTCCATAAACCTGTCTGAAGAAAGCGACATTGATGACCCACCCAGCCCTGTCTCCTCCTCTGCTTCTTCCAGTTAATGTAGTCTCCATGTATAATTAGAAAATTATGGGGGCCCCATGTGCATTCAGCTGACTACATTAAAGGTAAGTGCTCAGTCACACTGTATCCATTCCTCATTATATATTACTTTTACTGTACTGTATCCATTCCTCATTATTTATTACTTTTACTGTACTGTATTTCATTGTAGGTTTTTTTTTATTTATTTTTTATTTTTTCTATTTAAAAAAAAAAAACCATTTTTTGAATTTTTTTTTTATCTATGTCGGACTTACGACCAGTCGGACTTACGACCTGGATTTGGGTCCCTAACCCTGTCGTAAGTCGGGGAGCAGCTGTATTGGGATTTAGTTATTATTTATTTGAAAATGTAATTTTACATTAATTTTATAATATTTTTGTCATAAATACTGTATGAAGAAAATAATGGTGTACAGTAGTACCCCGCTTAACGCGGTCAATAAAACCCACAGGGTACCGTGTTAAGTGAAAACCGCACTAAGTGAACAACAGAACATATGGGATTAATTCCAATAGAAACTGGCCCATCCCCAAACTCCACTTTTTCCGACACAATACCTATGTTCTAGTAAAAATAACATCTTAATTTTATGATGGTACATGCACACAATTAATACTTAAGAGAAATAGAGAAATACAGTCGCCAAGTTAATGTCCATTCAAATAATGGACTCAACTCCCTCCCCCTCTTCTCACTCTACACTGCTGGCTCTTCCCTCTCTAAGAAATTTTTGGGGGAAAACCACTAAATTTTAATAAATGATACCTCAAACTAAAGTTAGGATAATACAATTGACATTGCTGGATTCCTTGTAAGACCAGGAATATTTTGAATATAAATGTCATATATTTTGCACAAAAGATAACATATTTACTCAGATTAAACATTACATCTAAAATTTGTATGTCTAATGCAAAATCTATGATGTTTATATTCAAAATGATCATCAAATTATAAGGATTCCAGCAATGTAAATTATATTCTGGCCGGGTAATTTGTATGAATTTTATGAGCTAAAACAAATATCTTCAGTTAATAAAAAAAAAAATATTCTTCAGAAACTATCTGTCAATCAAAGTACCCCACCTTGCCTCCCCCCTCTTCCAACCGCGTGGTCAGTCCCAACCCTCCCCCCCACCCCCCACCAATCCTCCCTTCAAGAGATGTTGGGTGAAAAAACTAAATTTTAACATTTATTATTAAATAATACCTCAGATTAAAGTTAGGATAATATAATTGACATTGCTGGATTCCTTGTAAGACCAGGAATATTTTGAATATAAATGTCATATATTTTGCACAAAAGATAACATATTTACTCAGATTAAACATTACATCTAAAATTTGTATGTCTAATGCAAAATCTATGATGTTTATATTCAAAATGATCATCAAGTATAAATTCCTGCAATATAAATTATATTCTGGCTTGGGTAATTTGTAGCAAATTTTTATGAAGCTAAAACAAATATCTTCAGTTAATAAAAAAAAAAAATATTCTTCACACCGTAACAGATGGTCGGTCGGTCCCTCCCTCCCCCCCACCTCCCACCAACCCTCCCTACCAGATGTGTAGGAAAACCAGAATATTTACCTTTCTAGTAATAAATAATACCTCAAACTAAGTTAGGATAATATAATTGACATTGCTGGATTCCTTGTAAGACCAGGAATATTTTGAATACAAATGTCATATATTTTGCACAAAAAATAACATATTTACTCAGAGTAAACATTATATCTAAAATTTGTATGTCTAATGCAAAATCTATGATGTTTATATTCAAAATGATCCTCATATTGTAAGAATTCCAGCAATGTAAATTATATTCTGGCTGGGTAATTTGTATGAATTTTATGAGCTAAAACAGGCAGTCAGGCAGGGTGGCGGGTGGGGGGTGGGGCGAATCTAAAAATAGCCCTCAAGCCGGACACTCACCGCATATACGTGGAAAAAACCCGCGTTAAGTGAAAGTTCAGCTCTGGCGAGGCACCGCGTATACGGTAAAACGCGCTAAGTGAAACCGCGTTAAGCAGGGTAATACTGTAATTTGAATTGGGTCTTAAATAAACCAGGGTCTTAAATATGAATTGTCGTTATCGGGGGCTTTCCTGTATAGCGATGGGAATTCCATTCTTTTATTTAAAAAACGTAAGAAATGCTGATACCGGAGTCAGTAAAATCACTTCTAAGTTTTTTAGACGCCAGTTTTTTATCAAAATAATCCTGAATTCTTTATCTTTATTAGTTTGGTTAAATAAATATATTTAAAAAACTAAATCTTTATATGATACAGGCATGAACAGAGCTGTGTTACAGCTTATTTGTCGCTGTAGTTATTTATGCAAACACCACTGTACAAGTACTATATTGTTCATACTGTAAACATAATAATGTATACTACTGTACTACTATACTGTATATACTGTAATCACCAGCAGATCGTGTCATCTTTAGCCTAGAGTAGGCAGACACTTCACTGAGCTGACTGTAATACATAACTGTAATCACATCTTAACACTTGTGATGGAGGTTGGGTGGGAGATTATTGGGTCATGTTACTAACCTGACCCGATGCAATGTCAGGTCACCAATTGTTGGGTGGGGTATTAGTGGGTCTTAGGACCTGAAGATGTCTTGAGTGACATTATTTTTTACCTATGAGGTATATACTTAGTCCAGTACTGTACTGTATTATATATGAAGGGTACAGGTATTAATAAGCACAGATTTTTACAGTAACGTATCTTAACTAATTAATGAAAAATACATGCATGTACACACGCACATGGGAATTAAGACAACAAGCATCCAGTGTGGGTCTTGTGTCACTGTATAGAGGTGAATTAAAAGCTCGTCTGTTGAGGAGTTTTTTCTGCACGCTGGTGCATATTACACTCCTTTCCACTCCGTATTTCTAATCACTCACATATTTTTGCTTTCACACTCCATATTTTAAAATCTTATGTAATGTAATGTTGAAGAGATACAACTTTGCTCATTTATACTTAATCTTATAACAATCTCCCTAAAAGTACTTTAGCTTACGTGCTTATTCAAGACATCTTCAGGTTATGAGACCCAAGAATCCCTCACCCAAGAAAGAGTGACCTGACATTCCATCAGAAGACCATTAATCCCCCACCCTACCTCCACCTGACATTGCGTCAGGTCAACCCCCCCCCCTCCAAAAAAAAAAACTTAAGACATTTTCAGAAAATGCTCTCGATTTTTAACCTCGGAAAAAATTTTCCCAAGCCCGAAATTTTTGGAAAATTCTGGCTTTGGGAGTGATTTTCCGAGTAAATTTTTTATTCCAACTATCGGAGAGTTCTGGGTTTGAGGGATTCCGGCTACCGGAGATATTACTTTACTGTATATTTACAATATACAGTACATACCCATTTTTTCTTTTTATGGGGAATAGCCCACCTGGGCACAGTATATCGTGAGATTGAGACCGATAATTGCAGTGATATATCGTTTTTGTGGCATGGAGTTCTGCAAATTACAGTAGGGAATATAGGAATCAGGAACAGACTCCAAAAATACACTCAAAATGACTTTGAGACTTTTATTTCACTAAGCATTGGTGACAGCTCAGCAGTAATATGTAGACCTTTAGGTGCATACGTAATCTTTAGACAGCATCGTAGGTGATAATAGTTTTAAAGAAATAATAAATTAGGATTACTAAGAAAGGAATGCACGACACCCCTTATTAAAAACTTAAATGTCATCTGTCAAGCCACCCTAGAGACACTTGATAGTTACCAAAGATTAAATTTTACCAATTAACTGAGCACAGTATTATTATTAATGATCATAAAGTTTATGGGCAAAATAAGTGCCAGTTAAAAAATGCTGATGCACCTGTAAATAGTAATATAACTCTAACCTGTAGTGAAATTTTGCTTTTTGATTATTTTTTTGTGTCCACAATGCGTTGTGGACTTTTTTTCTTTCGTTCAGTGAATTAATTTTTTCTTTGAGCCTAATATACCAGTATATATATAACTTGTAATCACCTAAAGGTTATAATCCCCAGCTTATTTCTCTTAAAGATAAACCTCCCTCATGCTGTTGAGGGGATAGTATTGTTAGGTTAGATTAAATTAGTGTCAGGGTGGATGATCTTAAGTGAATTAAATTTGGGTGCATAATCTCCATAACCTCCAAAATGTTGAGAGTTTAGGGTGCCATTAATCAGCACCAAATGCAGTATATAGTTCCATAATTCTTTCATTATTTCTTTACAAGTGATCTCTTACAGCAGTATTAGGGGATGATGGGAGAATATATTGGTCTAGATTCTGGGAAAAGGCTTGCAATAGCAAAAAAAATAACATTCTTCTTCTGATGGTAAGAGTAATAACCAATTTAATGTGTTTCTGATGGCCATGATGGTCAGGGTAATAACCAATTTGATCTGCACGTGATGGCCACTGGCCAGGGCCAGGGCATTAACCAATTTAATCTATTTCTGATGACCAGGGTGATACCCGATTGTGGGAAGAAATCAGTCAAACAGGAGATTGTCCTCCAACCTGCTGTAACTTTCCAGTGGCAGTAGCAAGAGACTCTATGTACGTCTTCAGCGGCCAGAGTGGTGCCAAGATCACAAATTCGCTTTTCTATTTTACCTTCAAAGATCGATGGTTAGTTGAAGGTGTATTTCTTTTATGTATTGTACCTAATAATCTTACTGCTCTATCTCTGCTTTCCCATCAATGAAAGGCAGTCCTTTGAAATTAAATCCAGGTTATATTTTACTTAGTTTATATTAGCAAATCTGGTTTATGTTAACTATGATTTTAGGAAGAAATTGACATTTGGGGGTTTATTCAAAAATTTTGTTTTTATAGATTAAGAAGTAATATATGCACAACTAATACTACATCTTACACGATTATAATTCACATAACACCTTGAACTGAGTTACAGTGAAATCACATAAATTCGGTGGTTAGGTACCAGAAGAAATAATTAGTTAGGTTCCGGAAATAAAAAAAATACAAAGTTGCTCTAGCAAACACTAAATATCATACATAATACATAAAAAAAGACAGAAACATATAAGATATTGTACAAAAAGTAGTTCTATATTACATAAACAGCTCCTTCCCTTTTCATAATTATCCTCTGTGTGACACCAACACAGTACGTCAACATCATGATAGGCATGGACGCAGGCTGGCTGGCTGGTCAGCTGTTTACACTATGTAAACAATGCACTGGGAATTTAATACAACACAATTACTCATCTGAGGTTGAGTGTAGGTTTTTTTGGGGGGGCGGATTTATTATTCTCCGCTAAAGTTTTATTAACCCGGAACCAAATAAACCTAAATATGGGAATTATGATGAAATTGCAAAGTGTCATTTTAAAGGGGTTGCAGGGTGATGTAGTAGTACACTCTGGGAGTGGAGGTGGGTACTTTCCTCTCAGCCCAGGCAACCCAACCACCCTATCTCTCTCACAGAAATCACTTCCCACTCTCCATTTATATATACAGTACAGGTAGTTCTGCTATAACGCGATAGTTGTGTTCTTGTAAAACATCGTGTTATAGAAATTCGCGTAATAGAAATAACAGGGCTTATGGAGAAAATAGGGTTAGGTGCAGATTACTCCAAATCGAAAAAAAATTTCATAGTTAGCCTACACAAAGGATAGCACAGTCTAAAAAATGTTACATTCATATCTAATAATGAAATCATTCAGCAAATGTTACACTTTACCTTGAAAAAATATGAATATAACTTGATGGGGGAGAAGGTTGATGTTGAGGTTGAGGAGTCATGAAACATCAAGCTTTTCTTCAAGAGTTATAGCCTTTCTTTTATGATCACCACCGGAAATGCGATCACCAGAACGCTTCCCAGAGATATTCTTCTTTTCCATAGTCACAAAATTGGAGAAACAGTAATCAGAATTCACTGAGGACTCTTAAAAACTTCACACATGTTTCAAACTGAACGTGTGGAGTAAACAGAGCGCGCGGGTCTAAAACGCTATGTATTTTGTTTTTCCCTCTTATTTAAAATTTTACAATTTACATATACTGTACAGGTATACTGATTACATAAATACAGTTAACCCTCACTTTACGCGGTTAATGTAACCCGGAGGGTCCCGCGTAAAGTGAGAAACGCGTAAAGTGAATAACATAACATATGGGATTAATTGAAATGGAGTCCGGGCCGATCCCCAAACTCCACTTTTTGACGACACACAACTATGTTGTAGTGAAAATATTATCTTAACTTTATGATGGTATGCACACACAATTAATAATTAAGAGAAATATCAATAATATTAGGTTTTTTAACACTTACATTAGTAGAAAAAATGGCTGGGCACACGGGGATGGGCGGTTGGTTCCGAGGCAGAGGGCAGATTATTGGCCCTCACCTGTGTCACTTGTATCAATTGTATCACTATCCACCACAGAGGCTTGCAGGGCCTCTTTGTCAAACTCCCCAAAGTCCATATAAGTCCATATCCTCACCATAATTATCACTATCACTGACTTGGGCCGGCTGTGGTGGGTGGCGGGTGAAGAACTGGTAATGTTTTGATGACTGGGCGACCTTGTGCGCACCATGTTCGCGCAGCTTGCACAACATGGCGGATGGCGGGAGGTTTGGATCCAAAAATGGCGCGGCTCGCCAGCCGCTCTCCGCGTAAAGGGGTACACGCACCGCGGAATGTGAGCATCCTGGGTTCCGGCAGGGCACCGCGTAAACGTGGAAACGCGGAATGTGGGACCGCGTAAAGTGAGGGTTAACTGTATTACATAAATTATTTCTGCAATTGTTCACAAACAAAACACATAAATCAATTGAACATGTGATGTCGAACGTGAACTGTAAACACTGCATAACCCCGCGCGAAGCCACAACACTGTACTGTACAGTACACTTTAAATGCTACGTATTTAGTTTTCTCTTTTATTTAAATTTTTACAATTTACATACAGTATATATATGTAAATTGTAATTTACATATTATTCATATTATGCTACAGCGCCCTCAAAACATGAGAAACGTTTGAGTCCCCCAGTAGAGATGTCCGTTCTCTATCCACTTCAGGATGTCTTAGTCCTCCTTTTTCTTTTTGTGTACGCCCTCAGGGACTTAAGTATTTCTGTATATAACACAGGATGATAAGGGAATTTGAATTATGAGTGAATGAATTTATTATACAGTGATCAATTAACATAGTTTTGATGTGTTTAAGTAGTATTCAGGCTCCTTCAGCCTAGTAATGTTACGACATTCGTATCACTCACTCTAAGCCACAAATTCCATCCATACAGAGAGAGAGAGAGAGGCCAAGCGCTCTGTTTACATCACACACACATAAATATTACATACTGTATATCTCGGCCTATTTTATAATCGCAGTCATGTACTGAATATTCTATGTAAAAAATATAAATTTTAAATGAATTATTTATAGTGTGGTAGACTTCCTACACAAAGACGGGCTATAAATAGGCTTCTTATCTCTTCTCCATCTATTACCCTCTGTTCTCAGAGAGAAGGTCTTGATAAATAACTTTTGTTTGTTTATTTTCATTGTTTGTCTAATTTATCATGTTGTATCAAAGTAATATTACTAAAATTTGTGTATAGGTGGTAGGCAGCTACCAAACAGGGAGATACTACCGCCTGGGAAGATATTGGAAGCATAATGTACAGTATTGTCTAATGGTAGATCCTACTTCCATATGGCATCACGAAAATTGTGACCAAGTCTTAGGTTGCTGATCTATCTTTCTGCCTCATTTACACACAATTGCAGAGTTTCAATTGTTTCTCTTCCTTTGACAACACAACATACATACAATATAATTTTTCTCACCTCTGATCTTTTTTCCTTTTTGCATTTATTTATGGTTGGTTATTTAAAATAAGGCCAATTCACTTAAAGTATTGGCATCAAATTTTACCGGCTGGTGTACACTAGTGACTCACTTAAGCGTCAGTTATTTAACTGGAACTAATGTTGGTGTGAGTAAAATATTTCCATTTACTTGAAATAGATTTGCCGATTTATTTGTTTATTTATTTATTTATAATATACTGTAATATATTAAACACACTGCAAGTATTTTCTTTAATTATATACTTGTTTCGCAAAAAAGGGAGGCTACCATTATACCTGGTAGGTGAAGTTGACCAGACATTTATGGTGATCATTAAGGACCAAACTCCGAATCCATGACGTGACTTCTGTTCATCATTTATATCCTAAATTTACCACTGTCGGTAGTTTCAAGAATTAACGCAGTCATTTACTGAATATTCTTTGTAAAAAAATAATTTTTAAATGAATTATTTACAGTGGTCCCTCGGTTAACGAGCACAATCTGTTCCAGCAGGTTGCTCGTCAACCGAAAATCTCGTTAACCGAAACCATTGTTTCAATGGGTTTTTGGGTAATTGGTTCCAGCTCACCGAAAATTGCCTAAGTTCAACAAAAATGTTAGAAATTGACACTTACTTTGAGGTGTGTATGTAGAAGGCTCCTGGATGATGATGCTGATGTGAATTTGAAGTGGGAGTTGGAGGAGGAGAAGGGAGAAGAGAAGGAAGTGGAGGTGGTGGAGAAGCATTTTACTGCTTCTTGGAAGGTGAGTCACCTTCCATGAAAATGTCAGGAACCTCTGGACTGACAGATTCTCCAGCAGGAACATCCTCTCTCCTTCTTGAAGTGGAAGGCTGAGGGCTAGCATCATCCTCTCTCCTTGAACTGGAAGGCTGAGGGCTAACATCTTGTTCCCTCTGCCTTTTACTGAAGAAAATGTCAATTGTGGTCTGTGGGGCATCTCTCCTCCTCACCATTAACTTATGTTTAAAGAAGGAGTCCATTGAGTCCTCAACATGACAAATAGTACAGTTTTTTCACATCTGGGTGCTTTGAAGCTAGTTCCCTGAACTTCTCCCAGTGGTAAATCACGTCTTTCAACTCTTTAGTTGACATATGGTGATCACTTTCCATTTCCTCCTCACCATTGTCAGCCTCTAACATCTCATCCAGTTGCTTCAAGTCATCAGGAGTAAGTTCCTCCTCATGAGACATCACAAGCTCTTCGACATCATCCTCCTCCACTTCAAGGCCCAGTGACTGACCAATGGACACAATCTCCTGGTCCAACTGTGTCATCCTGAAATCCCTCAAAATCATGGACTACTGATGGCCACAGTGCTTTCCATGAAGAATTGAGGGATCTAGTGGAGACTTCTTGCCATGATGACACAATGAATTTTACAGCCTCCAGGATGTTGAATTGTTTCTTCCAGAACTGTTTCAGTGTTAGTTCAGGATCAGTGGAAGTTGCCTGATGACACCTAAACATTTTCTTCATGTACAACTTCTTGAAGTTGCTGATCACATTCTGGTCCATTGGCTGTATGATTGATGTAGTGTTGGGAGGCAAAAACAACACTTTCACAAAGTCAAATTGATACTCCAAAGCTCTGGCAAGTTGAGGGTCATGACCAGGAGCATTATCCATGAGGAGAAGAGCCTTTCAAGGGAGTTTATTGGTGGTTAGGTAGCTCTTGACAGAAGGCCAAAACACCTCAACAGCCCATTCATTAAAGAGCTGTCTTGTCACCCATGCCTTACGGTTGGACTTCCAATAA